GCTTCAAAATTAACTCTTACGCACTCCTGGACTTCACCTGTGGACGCCTTAAGTGTGCAAATTTTTGGCTGGAGAACATTCCAGGATTAGTAAATATAAGGAACTGGAACTTTGAATTGATATTCTCTGTTCATGTAGGAGCTAAAAGTTTCAAATTTAGCTGTCACGTGCATCTGCATCACACGTACAGTATGTCAAAGTTCACGGATGGCACAGTGCCAATCCGAAAACTGGATGAAAACTTGTCAGAATATTTGTCACCCCCGTTTTCTTAGGTGAAAAGACATTCACTTGAGCTGTTTTTGATCAAATATTTATGTAGAAAAATTGTTGTCAAGTTGCTGCAACGGAACTGATTCGTGTAGAAGATCGGGGTGAAGAAAAAAGTCTGATGCGCTCCATCGGTGTTGTTGTTCTGGAAAACTGTTATCACAGTTGTGATGGGAGGACAAATGTTTGATTGTAGAGCATATAGAATCATGCATGCGCGTTTTGGGATTAACCAGTTCCCATGAATTGTATACGCTGCACAAAATAAAAGATCGCTGTTATTTTTATGCGTTTTTTGCAGCTATGCAATGCGGAAAACGTATATTGACGGGAGGTTGTCTGCGTGTGAGTTGGGCCTCCGTACCGATTTTTCATCTCGAGACCTACAAAAGCTGCAGGGCTGAAACTTTGGGAACTTAATCTACATGCATGTTCGGCTCCCCATCCCCAAAATGGGCGGTCTTATTCGCGTGGCACTTACGTAAGGGCCCGTGAAAGTTTTTCGCGGGTAACTCGCTAACTCGCGAACCAGAAAAGCTAGAAAGCTGAATTTTTAAGAGCGTATTCCCCGCCCATGTAAGTCTTAACGAGCTCAAACCCAACCTGCAGGTATGCGTGATACCCATGTACGAGCCTGCCAAAATTTTTTTCGGATAAGTCGCTAACTCGAGAATTTGAAAAGCTAGAAGACTGTAATTATAAGAGCATGTAAGTTTCAGTGAGTTTAGACCCAGACACCGACTATGCGTGGTACTCATTTACGAACCCGCTAAGACTTTTTTCGGGTAAGTTGCTAACTCGGGAACCTAAGAAGCTAGAGGATTGAAATTTTAAAGGGATGTTCCCCATCCAAGTGTTTATTAATGAGCCCAAACCCAGCTCCCAAGTATGCGTGGTACTCATGTACGGGTCCGTCAAGTTTTCTTCTGGGTAAGTTGATAACTCGGGAACCGGAGAAGCTAGAAGACTGGAATTTTTAGGGGATGTCCCCTGTCCAAGTAGGTATCAATGAGTTCAAATCCAGCCCTCGGGTATGCGGCACGGTGTACCCACCTGCGTTCCCGTGAAATTATTTTTCGAGTAAGTTTTCGAGTAAGTCGCTAACTGGAGAACCTGAAAAGTTAGAAGACTGTAATTTTAAGAGAATATTCCCATTTACGTATGTATTAATGAAC